CAGAGAACAATATAAACTCCTAGACTTGGGGCATTTAACTATTATTTGAGCATCAATAATAATTTGTTTGCTGTTCTAAAGTTTCCAGATGCTGAGGAAACCCAGATCCTCATCAATCTAAAGACAACATGTCTACCTGACATGACACAATCTCATTAATCTTCATCTGTCCTTCACTTCCTGTCATTCTTACTTAAAATGGACACTTGAGGCTGAAACTTCACTCATCTATAAGCTGGAGCGGGGGTGGAAGGGTAAGAGGTCCACGGAGACGTTGAAACCCCACCGGAGACCACAGCATCACTTGACTCAGCCGAGTACACTCCAACACAGCTAATGTGTTTGACATGGAGGCACGACATACCAGGAAACAGGGTGTTGTGATTCTTGCGCCGTGTCTCACTTCCTCTGCTGAATCATCATAAGTCCCAAGAAAATCTAGCTTTAGTTTCCCGAGACTACATGAAACTAAAATTTTGTGCAAAAAAGACATTAACTATGTACAACATAGGGTTCACATAATGATATCAATTTCACTCCTCTGACACTTCAAGAATTCTTCCTGTTTTAACATACTAATGTAAGGTCATCATGACACAGAGGTTATGGTTAACAGGCAACAGTATTGTGAAGTACGTTACCTAATTTACAAGGCCAAACACCTTAGCTAAATATAGCCAAAGCGAGACTAAATGTCCTATTTCTTTGACACTAAACTGGCCTTTTTTTTTAACATCCTTTCCAGTTTTAGGCAAAAAAAAAAAAAAAAAATCTCTACCTTTCAGCATCAGCCCATGACCTTTACTTTAATTCTTCTGTTGCCTATTCTCTTCCTCCTACAGTTACTCCCAGACAAGACAGGTGGTGAAAACTATGTCTATTCATTTCATAACAGGAAATTGTTTTTCTTGGTTTTTAAAAATTGTCTCTTAAGACTGTTTTGTTTCTACCAGCACATTCAGGGCACATTTTGGACACCATGTTCTAATCACACATGTGCTGAATCTTTATTTATAGTACTATTACACAATACACAAATAACACTGTAATAGTTCTTCAGAGGAAAAAAGTCTGGAAAGGAAACAGACTTTTGATATACAATATATCATATGAGTAGTAACAAAAGTACAGTTAAGGAAAAATGTATTATACATAAATATGAAATTCTATCTGAAATAGAAAAGGATTAAAATATTTTAACACAAATCTCTGATTATTTTGTACAAATACAGAATAGATGCAGAACATTTAAACCAGTTTCATTGAACTACAAAGTTATACTTGAAAGCATAGCATTTCATTTGATGACCTTCAAAGCATTTGTTTTGTTTTTAATATTTTTTCTTTATTTGTTTTAGAAAGAGAGGAAGGAAGAGGGAGAGAGAAACATCGATGAGAGAGAACATCGATTGGCCGCCTCCTGCACGCCCCCCTCTGGGGATCAGGCCCACAATCTGGGCATGTGCCCTGACCGGAAATCGAACTGGCGACCTCTTGGTGCCTGGGTCAATGCTCAACCAGTGAGCCACACCCGCCGGGCTAAAAGCATTCTTAAAGATACTTTTCCCCATTTACTAATTCTGTCTTATTGCCAGTAATTTTATTTTCATCTCTTACAAATTAAACATTGTAATTTTTCAAAAACTTGAAGAATTCATTGAAGACCTTTAGATTTACCCTGATCTAATTAGTGATCAAGTGAAAATAAGTCTTTGTATGTAATTAGGAAATGCTTTCTACATCTTAGCTTAAATGTGCTCATACAAAATTAATTGGTTAAAAAACATGGACTTCTAATTTTTAGAAATTAATCAAAGTATACCCTGGCCGGCTGGTTGGAACATTATCCTGTACACATTGTTGCGGGTTCCATTCCTGGTCAGGGTACATAACCTAGGATGCAGGTTTGATCCATGATTGGGGTGTGTAAGGCAGGCAACAGATAGATGTTTCTCTCTCACATCAATGTTTCTCTCTTTCTCGCTCTCTCCCTTTTCTCTAAAAATTAATAAACCTATCCTCAGGTGATGATTTAAAAAACAAATCACAGTATGCATATGTATGTATACATACACGCATATAGACTCATTCATACACACAAATACACCTACATATAAGTTTGCACTTCTCTTTGAAGCAAAGGTTAATTGATCAAGAAGTGCTAACAGTGTGTGTAAAAATACTGGCTCTTAAAACATTTATTTTGAATGGTAAGTTTTAGAACTAAAGAATTAAAGGTAACATTTTATAAAGGATCAAAAATATAACTAGAATTTGGACAAGATATTTCCCACACTTTAATTTTTTAAAGTCTATGACTGTCACTTATGAGTTGCTACTAGTGAAACACAGTACCTGCCTTCTAGGGTAAATGTTATTAGCAGGCGAGAAACACAAAGACAACGCAAAAAAAATCTAGAATGTAAAAAAAAAAAACACTACTTCCATCCCTTCAATCTCATACTTTAGAGTAAAGTTCTGCCCAAAATCTGGTTAAGCATTTTCTCCAAAAGATGCAAGATATCCACAGACTAAAGTATCCTGAAGAGAATGGAAGCCATCTACTTTGGGGGTTTCAACTTCTAAGAAGAACCTGAAGAAAGGCCCCAAATCTTAGAGTGGCCCAAGAATAATTTCTCATCTCTGGGTTTATCTTAAAATTTTCTCAAGGTATTTTATACCAGGTATAGGTAAAATCTAGGATAAATTACACCTTACTGTAAAACACAGTTGGGGTTCAATTTAGCTCTTACAAAGAGAAATATAAGCGTTAACACATATAAAGAACATGAAAAAATGTATCCTTTCAAAAAGGAATTTAAATTCTTTCATCCTTTTCTATGTAAGAGTGATGACATGTACGACTTGAAGACAAGTCTCTGGACAAGGTAGAGATTCGCTACATCTGAGACAGTACAGCAGGTTCCATAGAGCAAGGACATTTCAAAGAAGCTGGTTGGTCACCAGTCACATGCAGGCAAGGACAAGCTGGTCTCTGAGAATGAGAACTTGCTCTCAGTGCTGGAAGAGAGACCAGGCAGAGGGGGAGAAGCGGAGAGCACAGTGGAGGGAGAACTGCAGCACAGCCAGCAGACTGCAGCCCCTGCTGCACCCGCACCTACTCCCAGCCACTCAAATGCTAATCTGGGTGCTACTGTGAGGAGCTTTTGCAAATATATTTAAGGTCCTGAATCAACTGATGAAGGTCAAGAGATTTTCCTTGGGAGGCCTAACCTGACCAGGAGAGACTTTACAAGGGTGGCTTTTCCTGGCAATGGAAATGTACACCATGAGAGGGACAAGATACGATGGAGTTTCTCCACCACTGTCTTTGAAGATGGAAGGGGAACACGGGGACGGTCTCCAGGAGCCCACGGTGGCTCCCAGCCAGAGCCAGGAGGGAAATTCAGTTCCTAGGCCTACAACCACAGTGAACTCTGCGCAGCCTTGTGCCCCTGCAAGAGGAACACCGGCTCCGGAGGAGAACGCAGTCCAGCCGACACCTCGTTTTTAACCTCAGGGCGTCCCTGAGCACACGGGCGCAGCCATGCCTCGCTCGGACTCTGACCTACCTGCAGACCCACTAGTAGATGGGTGCTGTGTGAAGCTGCTAAATGTGAGGTGATCTGCTATGCAGCAAGAGAACTAACACAAGCAGTAAGCAGGCTGAGTCATACAGCTTTATTAGAGGAACCTAGAGAAGTTTATTGTGAGCACAACATCCTACTTCAAGAAATGTATCTAACACTGATACATTTAATATTAAGAAACCAAAGAAGACCACTGTTAGATCAGGTATTGCAGGGAAGGAAACCCGAGAAATTTTCGAACTCATTAGCCATGAAGTCACCAAGAGATAAATGTCATAAAAACACAATGTAGTCTTAATAGGAAAAAGATGCTTTTTCTGGATTTAACACCTTTATTTGTGAAACCAAAAGATGGGACTAGGTCATCTTTATGGGCCCTTTCAGCACTTTCTATAACCCGTCACATACAGTCCTGTCTTTTTAATGACATCAGAGAAGCCTGGGCACTGAGCCAGACCCTACAAATGCTCAGAACTCACCTAGTTCTTACCAAACACTGCATCAGAAAAAGAACGATTTAGTCAGGTCTAAAGCTCTCTTACCTGTATTGACTAAAGGGTCTTTGTGACATAGCAAATAACCAAGTGAACGAAAGCAAGGCTTTCTTTCCACATAAAAGCTCCTTTTAAATTTTCAAAAGGATCATTTTTTAAACCCCATTTTTAAAACTATAAGTCTGTGCATATGTACACAGGTGGGAGAAACTCATAAGTTCATATAATGTTAACAGAAAAGAGAATTTGGTTCAAGCTCTGGGAGTAAATTATTACTCTCAATTTAAATCCTTGTTTAAAAAATTATACATTCAGTATAAATTAGACACTTAAAATCCAGTTGGCTCCTTTATTAAACTCAGACCTGGAGAGGAGGGGCAGCAATAGCTTGAAAGGATTAATGCTGCACCTATATAGCTTATTTAATGGTATAGTCTAAGTAAATTTTTAGAGAAGTAAAATCCATTGTCATTTTTATTTTAATTACTCTGTAACCAATGGGTAGGCGAGGACTTCTAGGAAGTTGTTAATAATAACTTGAGTCTAGTACTAAATAGCCAGAAATTTATCTTAATATGAATTGAAATGTTAAAAACTTCTTTAAAAAAATCAAATGAAATAAACAAAAAAGAATCAAAGAACTTCAATTCTCTAGGGAATACACTGCCAGTTTGGTGTAACCATGGGGAAGGGGAACTCAAGGGGCCACAAACAGTTTCATTTATACCAAAACCATAAGCAATAAGAACATGAACAAAGCTCTTCTCTGTTCCCTTCATTTCCTTTAGTTTAAAAGTTTTCAGTATCCTCTAATGAAGAACTGATTAGAAAGTCATTTGACATTAAAAAAAGTAATAATAATCAAGTGATCCAGTTCTTGACTTCACTACCACAACCACACAGCCTTCTTTCTTACCTTGTCTATCCTATCTGGGCGGTTAGTAGCTGCCAAAACCGTCACGTCCTTTAATTGTTCAATGCCATCCATCTCCGTTAGGAGCTGAGCCAAAACACGGTCAGCTACATTCCCAGCACCTGAAGAACTGATGTTTAAAAATAAAGTTTTAAAAATCTGTTCACCTATCCCCAAATACTCCATTATTTAAAAAATACTGTATATTCTATAACAAGAAATATTATATGTTTCAAAATATAAAATGCATGCCTCAGAATTCATTATTTATTGGATTATCTTATCCCAAAACTAACTATATTCAAATAATTTCTTGTCCTCCATCATCAATCACATTCATTTTTTCTCCAATAATAAGATGCTCCATGAGTGTCATATATAAAAATCTGGGAAGAGAGAGATGATTATTTAAGAAGAAGTGGATAGATATGAGAAATATTAAGGAGACACAATCAATAGGGCTGGTAAGCCAAAGTCTCCATGGAGTCACTTGATGAAAGAACTTGAACTGTAAACACGATGGATTTGAAGTGCCCGTGGGACATCTGGAGATTTAGACGTAAAAGAAAGAGATCTGAAGTACAAATACATCTCTTAAAGTCTTTGCCTTTAAGATGGTACTTGGAAAGATGGAAGTACAAAAGATCACCCGGGAAGTGTATAGTGAGTGAAGAAAAATAAGTAAATAAATGAACAGAATACCAACCCCAGTATTCTAGAAGAAATGTGTATCAGTTAGCTCAGGCTGCCATAACAAAAATGCCACAAACTAGGGGCTTAAACAACAGAAATTATTTTCTCATAGTCTTGAAATTTCAAGATAAGGGTGCCAGTATGGCTGGGTTCTAGTGAGGGCTCTCTCCCTGGCTTTGAAATGGCTATCTTCTTGCTGTGTCCTCACGTGGCAGAGAGAGAAACAGAGAAAAAGCTCTTCTTATAAGTGTCTCTTCTTATGAGGACAATAATCCCACCACGAGGGCCACATCCACATGACTTCAAGTAAACCTAATTATATTCCAAAGGCCTATGATCTAGAATTTTTTTGAAAAAGCAATGCAAGGCATTTCATTCATTTTTTTCGGAGCTCTTTCGACAGGTGAATGTATTCCAAAGCTTACAAAAACTTCTTTGTAATGAAGATGATGATGCTTCTATGCACATAAACGCAGGTCACAAAATGCCCCAAGATAGTCCCAGTGTTTATTTTTAACACATGGTGAACTGAGACTCTGAGAACAACCAGCTGAGTGAACCCAATCGCTAGTTTCTCTGCACCTTCATTCCCTTATTTGAAAAACAAGTGTCTGGTACTTCTTGGTAGAATCTGTACTAGAAAGCTGAGATAAGCGGACGGAGACATTACTGTTCCCTTGAGAACTTCGTAAGTATCGGCATGTATAAATGAGGAAATTATATTAGATAATATATATACATATATCCTTCTATAGCTTTAGAATTCTGTGATTCTGTGATATTATGTAGCACCTAAGTAACATTATTTTTAATAAGAATATCTGTATTCAGAAACTTATTACTGACACTCCCAATTGGGCACTTCTAAACAGAAAGAGGTGAAGTCATACTTGTCCAATTTGCTATTGGTTGTAGGAGGAAATGGAAGCTGTAAATAACATGGAAGATAAGGTGGAGGGAACTCTTTGGATTCCCATTACCCATGCTGCCTTGCCCTTTATTTCCAGGATCATTGAGAGCTAGCTGGAAAATAGCACAGTGAAAATGTTTTATGGGCTGAGAAATATTCTTGGCTGAATTTCAAAGCTGCAGTAGGAAACAAAAACCATAAAACTGACATCCTAGGAAATCAACTCTCCAAAAAAGTTTAAAAACAAATGTGTAATCACTAACATAATGAAATGATTTTATAAAACTTTATTATCTGCGAGAGATAGGCAACATGACAATGGGGAAAAATATTCACCTGTAAAAAATATTGAAGCTAGCCCGGCCTGTGTGGCTCAGTGACTGACAGAGGTCCCGGCTGGATTCCTGGTCGAGGCACAAAGCCAGGTTGCAGGCTCAGTCCCCAGTAGGGGTGTGCAGGATCAATGTTTCTATCTTACATCGATGTTTCTCTCTCTTTCTCTCTCTCTTAAAAAAAAAAAGTCAATAAAACAATATTTAGAAAATCTTGCAGCTAAACTTTCCCAAAACATTAATTCTCTTTTCCCTTAAAAAGTGAAGGCACTTTTCCAAATTATTCATATTCAAAGGTCATATGGTGCCATGGACTGAAGGAACTTTATATATTTTTTTTAATCTTCACCAGAGGACATTTTTCCATTTTTTGTTCAGGTAGAGAGGGAGGGAGAGAGAGGAACGAGAGAGAGAGAAACATCGATGTGAAAGGGACACAACGAGTGGCTGCCACCTGCACAACCGACCAGGGCCGGGGACAAACTGCAACCAAGTTACGCGCCCTTAGCGGGAACCGAACCCGGGTCTCTCAGGACCGCAGACCGACGCTCTAACCGCTGAGCCAAACCGGCCAGGGCGGAACTTTATATCTTAAATGGGCCCGTCACCTATAGCCATAGACCAACCTGGCCAGCCGTGTCCATCTGCTCACACACTCGCCTGAGCCTCGTCCGCACGGCAGTGTCGAAGATGAACAGTTTCGGAGGAGACCGCTCAGCCCCGAGGCTGAGAATGTGCACTGACTGGCCAGAAACCGCTCTGCTACGATGATAGTTAGTTCACTGATTTTTATTTTCCAATACTCAATATTTCACAAAAATGATATATTTATTTCCTTTTCAACTCCTCTGATAAAATGCCCTATCATCTCCTCATGTGATTTCTAAATTACAGACCAGCATCTCAGTTATCCAATTTAATATTTTCAATATTTTTCTAGTATACATTTTAAAGTGTCATAAAGAGTTAAAAATGGTGGGCATCAGAATTTGTTTCTTAAAATCTGTCTCCCACACACCTGTAGTCATTATTCAGCCTTGGAAGAGACCTCAAAGTCCTAAAGAAGGCTAGCCAAAGAAATACTAATCTGAACACAAGGATCACCTATGATGATTCTCTTGGTGATGTCAAATGCAAGCAAACTTTCACTTTAAAGGCAGACAGATACAACAAGCGAAACTACCTGTCCTGACAACAAAAAATAACTCCTAGTCCTAGTAAAACACTGCGACAGGCCCTGTCTCGAAGAGTCAGACCTTTCACCTACTGCTAAAGTACGCAGCACAGACAAAACACAAAACAAGATATCCACAGAACTCTGCTTTAAGGCATGAAACAATGAAAATAAAGTCTCTTTTACGCTTTCCATTTCTTCTTTTGTCCTGTTTTCTTCACCATTTCTGTTTAATATTAAAAGTTTTGCCCTAGCCGGTTTGGCTCAGCGGTTGGAGCGTCAGCCTGCGGTCCTGAGAGACCCGGGTTCGGTTCCCGCTAAGGGCACGTACCTCGGTTGCAGTTTGTCCCCGGCCCTGGTCGGTTCTGTGGGTGGCAGCCACTCGATGTGTCCCTTCACATCGATGTTTCTCTCTCTCTGTTCCTCTCTCTCCCTCCCACTCTACCTGAACAAAAAATGGAAAAATGTCCTCGGGTGAGGATTAAAAAAAAAAAAAAAAAAAAAAAAAAGTTTACCAATGGGGCCAGTCAGTGTGGCTCAGTGGATTGAGCATCATCCCATGGACTGAGAGGTCCAGGTTCGATTCCCAGCTAGAGCACATGCGCAGATTTTTGGCCCAATCCCCAGTAGGGGGCAAGCAGGAGGCAGCCGATTGATGTTTCTCTCTCTCTCCCCCTTCGTCTCTCTCTAAACATCAATAAAAACATACTAAAAAAAAGTTTACCAATGGAGCCTTGGCCGATTTGGCTCGGTCATTAGAACGTCGGCCAGCAGATCAAAGAGTCCCAGGTTCAATTCTGGCCAAGGGCACGTACCTCAGTTGTGGTTCATCCCCAGCCCTCGCTGGCGTTGTGTGGGAGGCAACCAATTGATGTTTCTCTCTCATGTCAGTGTTTCTCTCTTTCTCCCTCCCTCCCTCCACTACACTCTATCTGAAGATAAATGAAAAAATATCCTCAGGTGAGGATTAAAAAAAAAGTTTACTAATGGGAAAATTACGCATACCAGAAAACAGGCACTGGATTTAGAAACTTGAAACACAGATATACAAAATAACAGTGGTTAGAATTTGTAATAAGTGGCTTTTGTTATGAATTTGTTAAACATAGCAATAATATTTATATAATTTTACCCAGATATAAACACACCCAAATCCTGCTGGTGTAAGAGGCTGTTCAAAGAGCACTAAATCAGAAGACATGAGCTCTAGTCTGCAGAGGCCACAAAGGAATTATGTGCCTCTTCTCTTAAATTCTAGGGGCTTCTGTTCCTTCTGAGGAATAAAAATTTGCACTAAGTGACTTCTAAGAATTTTTCCAGCTATAAAATTTTATGAAAATTTTAAAACCACTATAAAAGTCACATTAAAACAATTTAGAACCCTCCTTGAAAAGTGTCATTTAGAGAAATAATGCCCACAAAAACTTCTTCTACAGTGCCATGAATTCACCTGGAACCTGAAGACGCTGCTAACGAGGCCACCCCATTTCCTGAGCATTATTTTAAAATTCAGAGCTTGTCTCAGAATGCTGCTACGCCTGGCTCAGAACTCCTCACTGTTTTCCCCAGTCACTCCAAGTGGAAACCCATTCTGGACTATTAAGTGCAGAAACAGCCATACAAGACCCCAATCATTGGTATCCCAGATTCTCCAATACCTCATGGAAGATATAGCATCCAGTCAGCTTTTACCTGAGCACTTACTTAATCCTTTTCATTTCTCCATATAATCATCTTTTTAAAATTCTAGTCAGTCATAAAACAATATCTCAAATGATTTTTTATATAATAGCATTAATTTTATAAAACAGAAGAGATCAACTTCTCTTTCGCCCAAATAACAATACTGTGTATTTCTCAGCACCATTTCATAGTTTAAAACTGCACTTTTCTTCAGCAATGGTACATAAAATAATAACCTGTCTTACCGGATGGCATCTTAGACTGATGAAATGTCACAGTGCCTGACACCTGTGGAATACTTTTTCTATTTTCCAAAATGCTTCCATTTCCTCCACTAGAATATAAACCCTTGTTGAGTAGGATACATTTTTATCTCTAGCACTTTATTTATATCTATATGAAAATTATTATAAAAATATCAAAGGAGAAATGATAAGAAACACTATAGTTTCTAAGCAGTTACAAATGCTAGGTACTACGTGAAACACTTCACGTGTATTTAATTCCAACAACCTAGAATTTGTTACTATTAACTCCACTTTGCAATTGAAGAAACTGTGGCTTAGAGAGGTTAAGAAAATTGCCATAGGTCCTGTTCACTGTTTTATCCCCAGTACCAAGCTTGCTGCAGAATGAGCTTTCAATAATAATCACTGAATGGATGAATGGATGCATGATTGAAAGGAGTCTTGGATGAATGGATGCATGATTGAAAGGAGTCTAACAACAGCCCAGCTAGACGGACAGGGTCATTACTAATGTAAGTCACCAAGAAAATGCACAATAAATACAAGCTTGAAGGGTAGTTAACTATTTAGACCTGGAATCCTGGAATCTGTGGTGTGGTAGTCAAGTCCAAAAGTGCTCAGAGGACATGACCCAAGTAAGGTATTTAGTCACCTAAATACCCAAGTTGTCTCACCTGTAAAATGGAGGCGGGACTAGGACCTATACCTCTTGGGGTTGTTGTGATGATTTGAAGATAACACAGCAAAAGGCCACAACATGTTGAGTGATAAATGAAGTCACTCCAAACAAAGGGAATCATGATTATTTGGAAGTTAATTAAGTAAACAAATGGACCTCTTCAGCTAGTGATTCTAAGTTCCAGAGATAAGGTTCCCAGTTCCAAATCTCTTCCAGTTCTGCTTGAAGACTGGCACTACCAGGCAGTCAGTGCCAGCTAATAAGCCTGATGCAGGACCAGTGACAGAGGAAGGGGCTCGAGGAGTCAGAGCCTCCTGGTTAGCCAGTGGCCATGTTCTCAGTCACGGAAAGCCTGGCCAATACAGTAGTGGTGTCCCCTACACCTCTCCACTTCTGGGGACAGGCTGCTGCCTACGACAAGGCTGACTGGTAATTACTGCCTAGCGTGTTCTCCCCTTCCCACTACAATAAACTATGAAAAATGTACAAAGTCAAGCTGGCTGGGAGGTGTGGCAGAGTACTGGAGCCAGGGGTCAAGTGTATAATATCCTACTTTGCATTAATGTAGGGGGCTTTTCCTTTACCTGTAAAGCACTGAAAATTTTCTGATACATAATAAGCACGAAATGAGCATTGGCACAGCCCAGTATCATTCAAATCCCTTCCCTACCTCAGGGCCTCACTTCCTCCCATATCACCCATTTTCCAAAGAGCTGTGCTACTTGAGCAGCATTTTCAATTTTCCCAAAGTTGTGGAGATCATTGAAGCACTTTGCAAAGTAATCTTACATTTCCTCCAGCTCCCAATGTGAAACAAGATAAAATCTCATTCAGAACAACCACAATTTAAATGGGCCTATAGATAAAAAGAAGTAAATATAAGGCTTATTTATTTTTCAAGTCCCAAAGAAATTTAAATGGGACAGGAAGGAAGAGAAAATAGTGGCTGCAATTGGACACTTTTATAAGTATGAAAAAAATCTCTGTCTGAAAGTACAAAGATTTCTAAAGCTAGGCAAACAGAATGTCAAAAAATAATTGGTTTAACATGCACAGAATAGTAAAGGACTAGTATGTATATATCATAATTCTCTGCTCAATTTGTTAGACATCTTAAGTTTGGAAATTAAAACCTTGGTAAGAAGAAACAGCCTTCTTACATACTGTCATTTTGGACTAGCCATATGGGTTTGATCGAAATGTTATTGTTTTAACAAATGAAAGCAGTGACTATTCTAGAGCCCAATATGATGTAGAAATAAATGCCTCCTAGTTTATAGAATATTTTTATTTTTCTATGTTTCCCATTTATTTAACAATGCATAAAATCGGTTTAGTATCTTGAAAACTTTATACTTTTGGTATTCATCAATAGCTGTTTTTTCAGATTCTACAAATTTGTTTAAACAGCTGAAGAACAGAAACATACAACATACACGTGGAGATTGTATTTGTTTTCAGGTAATAGTAATCTAATTAGATAAAACAATCACTTTCTAGACAATGTTGCCCATCACAAAATTAAGGGGGAAAAAAAGAAAAAAGAAACCCCTGAAAATAGAATGTCACTCTATGAGATTCTTATGGTTATAAAAAATAAACTATACGAGACTGACTGCAACTGAAGTACAACCAAAACTCTCTACTTCGGACCATTAGCATTACATTTGCTCATCAGCCTCATCTTTGTATTCTGAAACGTCCAATAACTTTTGACCCCAACTTTTCTATACAAAGGAAAACCACATCGAATTCATTTGTACTTGATTTGAACGAGCCACTGAGGGAGGGAAGCACACAGTACAGAACATGATGAACACTATTAGTGGAAATGGTACCTAGAGGCTGCAAATCATTAGCATTTCTACTACATCACAAATTCCTCCTGAGTCAAACTGCCTATAAAAACAGGATATTTCTATCAAGTGCCTTGTCTGGTTTCTCACACCATTTTATTTCAAAAGCATTTTATGAGAATCTGCTGCATATTCTACCTCCCATCTGGTTCATATTTCACAACGGATCCCACCCTGTTCCTTTTTAGACTCCAAACACAGATGTCCCCAATGTCACATGAATGTAGCAGGTCACACTGCTTCAGTTAACATGTCCGGTTTCCATTTCTTTCCTTGTAGTTGAGGTGAATTTGAGCTATTTGCAACCTTCTGTGTCATTTCACCTCAGAAATAAAAGGGCCCAAGTACTTAAGTCATGAGATAAGGAGACTGCTGGGTATTTCCAGGAGCTGGCCGGGTGGGTGGGAGCAGGGCAGCCCCCCCCTGCAGTCCGCACTGGGCCAGGGAGGCCGCTGCCAGGCTGCCCGGGAAGGAAGGGAGCAGCAACGCTTCTCATTCAATTTGCTCCTGGGGGCTACACAGTGCCCTCTGCCACCACTGTAATTACCACCAGTGAACTTTTACAATCAGTATATACATCAAGAAGCTATGCACAACGCATATTAAGTTAACATCCTCAAACATGAAGTATTTGTGCAAATTCCTTAAAAACCGCTAAACATTTATAGAAAAAAAAATCATACTTGTAAATACTTTCTGTGATATATATATATATATTTATAGCTATACGATTATATATTTAAACTATTATAAATAATTCTCTTTATTGCCTGGGATTCAGGAGTAAAACTATTAACACTAATTTTTATTTTATTGTATGTAATTATACTTTTTCTGAAACATGATTTAATCTAGAGACTACTAAAATCTGTACAATAACATCTTTTATTATAATTGAGTTCTACTGTATCATTATATTAGCTTAATTGAGTTTTGTTTTAGTTTTAATCATATATTTATGACAACTCAAATTTTGACATACAGTGTTAGGGGTCCCTGTAGATAATAAACTATAAAAATTAACTCAATTGTCCCAAGTGGATATTAGTGTTACTTTACCTTTTTTATCCTCACCCGAGGACATTTTTGCATTCATCTTCAGACAGAGTGAGAGAATGAGACGGAGGAAGAGAGACAGAGAAACATCGACGTGAGAGAGGCACATCAACTGGCTGCCACCCACATGACACCAACCAGGGCCAGGGACAAGCTGCAACCAAGGTACGTACCCTTAGCAGGAACCGAACGCGGGTCTCTCTGGACCATAGGCCAATGCTCTAACCGCCGAGCCAAACCAGCCAGGGCCAGTGTTGTTATTTTTTAATTGTATACATTAATTAATTTAATGAGTGTAACAGAAAAAAATTATATAAATTGAAAAATGTTTTCTTTTAGGCCAAATGTAGTAATATATAAAATTGGTATACGAAATACTATTTCCTCTACTGCTAGTATTCAATAGTAGTCATGAACACTGGCCAATTCAGCCCAGTGGTTATAGTGTCAGTCCGTGGACCAAAGGATGGTGGGTTCGATTCCTGATCAAGGGCACATACCTGGGTTTGGTGTTTGGGAGGCAATCAATCGATGTGTCTCTCTCATATCGATGTTTCTCTCCCTCTTGCTCTCCCTCCCTTCCACTCTATCTAAAAAAATATTCTTGAGTGAGGATTAACAAAAACAAAACAGTAGTCATAAAATGTTGCTCACCTGCCCCTTTCAACCGCCAAGGCATCTAGCTCATCAAAGAAGATAATGGAAGGGGCCACCGCTCTCGCTTTGCGGAAGATCTGGCAGAAGAACAGTGCCGTGTTAGCCGCAGGTCAGCAAGCCCCACACACCCGTCACTGGTTTGACTCTGAAAACTGTTTGGAATCTATGTATAAGACAATCAGCTCAAACATTGTGCCTATAACCTAGAGTAGAAGGATATATTTTACACATAGATAAGACACCAACATGTATCCAGAGGTCTGTCTGGAGGCAATGTGGTTAGGCAATCAGACAATCTCAGCTAAAATCCCAACTCCACCATTTTAGTAGCTGTGTGATCTTTGGTGGGTAACTATTTCTCTAAACTTCTATTTCCACATCTATCAAATGCAGATAATAATAACTGTCAGTCTCAGAAGATTATTTTAAGAGCTAAATAAAAAAAATAATGCAAAGCATCTAGTACAATGCCCAAAACACAGTAAGAGCTCAGTATGTGATAGGTATTATTAACTATCATAAACACATGTTTAAAACAGTAAAACCATAAATATGTAAAATCAACTATGGCTTAGCATATAAAATACCAATAAGCTCAAAGCCACATGCCTTGTTCAAGTCACTAAAGACTTTATGGGAAAAGAATAGTTATGTAAAGCGGGGACAAGAAAAATGGCCAAAACGCGGAAAAGCATCAGACAGTCAGACCAGAAGTCAGACTATCAACACCAAGGACTGACCAAAGAGCCACGAGGGTAACATGCGGAAATGAGCTAGAAAAAGTCTACACAGGCAGAAAGAAATCCAAATGTGTGTTGTCTGTAACCTAGGCCCCTGTTTTCTTGTCACGAGTATCATGACCACAAAAACACAAAACAATCACCAAACCTTAATATTCCCTCCTGCGCAGAGCTCCGCCTGGAGGCAGCCTCTCCTTACCTCTCTCACAGCTCTTTCAGATTCACCGACGTATTTGTTCATTAATTCAGGCCCCTGAAGAGAAGAAAACAACTGTTCAGTTCTTTAGAAATATAACCACATGTATGTCTTTCGAGGAAAGAGCAAATACATACATAAAAGAAGAAAAGGGGGGAAATAAACAAAAATCTGCTTCTAATTAAATGAGTTCCTTTAGTATGCTTATTTTCACTGGGTGTTATTTGTGCCTAAAAACTAAAGCCAAGCCATGTTCCCAAAACTACACATCGATAAAAGGAAAGGCTACAGCCATAAATATCCTGTTCTCGGTCCACTCGTAGCCCACATCTTCACCCTGTATCAGGCATGGTGTTAAGCACTGAGGGCAGAGAGGGTTAATCTGGAAGGAAACACCATGAACTCCCAGGCTGAGCCAGCTACTCTGAGTGGGCCCACCTGTCAGTGGTGAAGTCCATTGTATCGACAGACCTCAGGGATACTCTTTTTAGGACTGCACAGTCACCCCGAGGAATGGAATGGGAACCATGGAGGCCATGACATGATGTTACAGTATTTCCTTGAGTGTTGCCCATATACCCAATGCTGTCAAGCTCTCTGCTCCACTTGACCTGGCCATGTAGACACTGACTACGTGCTTCTCCAGGGCCAAACATGCTCTTCTCAGTCACTGTCCTGACCAGAGGAGATCATTCCTATTCCTATAGAACAATGTCTCAGGACCACAACAGTGTCATGTTGTGACAATGATACTTGTCATCCTCAAAAGTGTCTATTCACTCAGCCTCTGTCTGAATCTTCCTTAGATATCTGCCACTCAGCACTTTAACCAGGTGATGGGGAATCTCTTTTCTCTTCTTGTGTTCAGGTATTTCAGAAAGGGTAACAAGGATGAAAGGTGTGAACTTTTTCTAATAAAGTAACCAGCCATCAAAAAGAGAATCCCTATAAAAGTGGCTGGTCTCCTAGTGATATACTACATATCACTGATTCAAAGATGCATTTTTTTTTTTTACTTTAACACTTCTGAATTTTAACATATCATATATTGCATAAAAACCGTAGGCTTTCTTTTTCACTGCACACCTACTTTCTCATGTTACACAGTTATCACATCACAAGAAGTCACAGGATATTAAAAACCAAAACAAAACATGCTGCTGTCCTGAGAACCACAACCATGCCCTTCAGATGCTGGTATAAAGGTTGTCCTACAATGCCAGATGTCCTTCTCAGCGGTGGGAACTTTCCCTCCCTGTATTCACTATTCTTCCCAGCACCTAGCTTCTACTGACACCCTTTGCTCACCAACTCCCAATCCAACAGATGCTGTATGTGTATGTATGTGTGTGTGCGCACGTGTTTCTCTCTCCACAAACACACACATGCACCTTATTTTGAAGAAGATTCATGTTCTACCCCTTGTAAATCATGGGTCCAGACACTAAGGGAATATACCTAGGCACTGGCTTGAGTACTTCCTGAAGAGTTTATATCAATTAAATAAAACCTGATTAACTGAAGCACATTGGCAAACCCTAGCAGAATGTCAACTAAAGTCACAAATTGGTATGGGTGATATTTAGTTTCAGTTAAGATACCATTTCACAAAGATAATTCCCATAGAGCATGACAAGGACTAGGGCAGAGAAATGCACAGGTGCCACTGAGACACCGAAAAGGAACTACTCAGACTCAAGGATGCTCCTAGAGAAAGTAACATTTCAGGTGAGTCCTCAGTTGATTTATTCTGTACCTTCAAAAATAGGAAATACATCAAGACCCAGGAAGAAATCAAAAAGGTCTCGAATGAGCCAAAATAGATGACATTATGTGGACTTTAACTGGAAGAGCTCTTAAGGTCTTTCTTCAGAGTTCGCCAACTTCTCATTGATACACAAGACAACAAACTTGAGTAGAACTGACAAGAATTTAGTCTATGCGGGGCATACGATGCAGGGAGAATGCAGCAATCAGTAAGGCCACCTAGGGTGGGAGGAAGGGGTACACCGACAACAAGTACAGATTCTATCCTGTGCAATGGAAGAGTCTTAGGGGAGTTAACTGGTAATAGGGATTTTATGGAAAGATGATTGTAGCCACAATATAAAGGATGATGCGAAGGAACATATGAGATCCGAAACAGAGAACAATTATTAAATTCCTAAAATAAGAAAGGTGAAAAATTATAAGGATTCCGGTAAAACAACAGAATGAAAATTAAAAGATAGCCATAGTAAGCAATTAAAAAGATAAAATCAACCTTATTTGCTGTGAGTAGGAAGATATAAAAGTGAGACAGAATAAGAGGAATAGAAAAATTCAAATTCGACTTAGTCCTTTTTTGATGTTCATGATAATGACTTCATGAAGGAAGAAGAAATGCTCAAAATATTTGGTGTAGCAAGTTTCAAATAGAGAGCTCATTAAAAACATTTCAATACAAAATGATTAAAATTAAAATTTTTATAAGCACAAACATAAGTGCTAACATTTATTGAATATTTACTATGTGCCATGAACTGTTTCACTTTATTGTATTAATTCAGCTTTGTAAAATGTCCAAGTGCAGAATCACTATGACTTCCTATCTGTATGTGAATTGAAGATCCACACATAATTAAAGGCAGAAAAAAAATCACAAACATCTAGCACCTTCACCTTTTTGCTAACATATAGAGACATTCAATTGCTCATTTCTGTCATTCAACGAATATTAAGTGCCTACAATAACTTTGTGGCTTCACAGGAAAGATTAAACCCATTCTTAAAGCCCAGGCCGGTTTGGCTCAGAGGTTACAGCATGAGCCTGCGGACCAAAGAGCTGCATGTTTGATTCTGGTCAAGGGCACATACCTCGGTTGCTGTTTGGTGCCCGGCCCTGGTCAGGGTCATGCAGGAGGCAGGTGGTCTATGTCTCTCTCTCACACAGATGTTTCTCTCTCTCTCTCTCCCTCCCACTCTATTTGAAGATGAATGGAAAAAATATCCTCAGGTGAGGATTAAAAAACAAACAAATGCCCTGGCCGGTTTGGCTCAGTGGTTAGAGTGTGGGCCTGCGGTCCAGAGAGACCCGGGTTCGGTTCCCGCTAAGGGCATGTACCTCGGTTGCAGTTTGTCCCCAGCCCTGGTTGGTCGTGAGGGTGGCAGCCACTCAATGTGTCCCTTCACATCGATGTTTCTCTCTCTCTCTCTCTCTCTTCCTCTCTCTCCCTCCCACTCTATCTGAACAAAAAAATGGAAAAACAAACAAACAAACAAACAAACACATTCTTAAAAAATAAAAATACAGTGAGGAAAAAAATCACAACTAAGTAGATAATTTCATAAAGAGAAGCAAAACTAAAACAGGTTCCTTCCCGGTGAAAGAGTCCCAGGATGACCCTGAACGAGACACAGCCACATCAGACCACCGAGAACGGCTCGGGCCCCCAGCTCCACCCCTGTCTAGGCCTCCCCACAGCCCATAACTCACCCCAATGCTCGGTGGAGAAGGGAGGCCCGGCACCTGTGTGCACCGGAGCGCGCCCTGCTCTGCAGTGCATGGAGAGAGAGGAAGTCCAGGGTTCTAAAGGAAGCGTGAGGCCACCTCAGGGTCCAGTTACACTGGAGGGAGCTAATAAACCAGAAAAGAAAACTAGAAGCTACCAGAAAGGAAATGGTAAGGTATAATAGAATGCAGAAAGGAAATTTCTGGAATAATATGAAGTTTGTCATCAGAAAAGGAAATTCTCTTCCTCCTCCTCCTCCTCCTTTATAGTCCATTAAAAAAATGTAAAATTTACTCTGAACTAAAGGGCTAGATTAAAACAAGCTGCTGACCAAATGTGGCCCAAAGCTGAGCAGAAGGTTCTTGAATAAAGCCATTTCATTCAAAGTTGTTTTTTTATAATGTTGATGAGATACTGTAGGAACTTAACTGCTGTTTTTATCAATAAGCCTATGGTAAAATTGGTTTCCTTATACATCTTTTCACTTAAAGTCCCAGAATCTATCAAGAATGTTGCATGAGCCCTGGCTGGTTTGGCTCAGCAGTTCGAGTGTCAGCCTGTGGACCAAGAAGTCCTGGGTTCGATTCTGACCAAGGGCATGTACCTTGGTTGCAGTTCATCCTTGGCCTCGGTTGGAGTCATGCGGGTGGCAACCAACTGATGTCTCTCTCTCACAATGATGTTTCTCTCTCTCTCTCTCTCTCTCTCTCTACCCCTCCCACTCTGTCTGAAGATAAAATGTAAAAATATCCTCAGGTGAGGATAAAAAAAGAAAAGAAAGAAAAAGAATGTTACGTGAGGACTTACAAAGGTTAGCTGACCCCAATCTAGATTTTAAAAATCATCAAAAAATATCAACAACATGATTGCTAAGTGAAAAACCTGGATTTCAAAATATTAAGAAAACTGATCAAAACATTAAGGGAAAAAATAAATAATACTTAAAAAGCAATTTCAAAATATCTAGTAATGCTTAAGATGACCAATGACAAGAACTTCCACTCCAATGTGTGAGAATATTACTGGAGCACTGTTCAGAGCAACAAAAATTAAACCTGAAAAAAATCTAAAAATTAACTAATATAAAAATGAGTAAAATAGACTATAGTGTCCTCATAAGATGGAGAACTAATACTGTTAAAGTGTGAACGACAGGTTGGACTAAGAAGACAGTCAGAAGCAGAAAGACCAGGAAAAGTGTTACACAGTCAAATGTACCACCTTACACATTTATAAACAACAGTTAGAGTTCTTAACGTTTTGCCAAATTTTTAAAGGTCATGGAAAAGTTGTACTTTTCCCTGATGAGTATTAAGATCATTTTTGCATGGTTTCACCTCACATAATCTTTTTTGTTGTTAATCCTCACTTGAGGATATTTTTTCCACTGATTTTTGTTGTTGTTCGAGAGAATGAAAGAAAAAGGGGAGAAAAAGGGAGGGAGAGGAAAACATTGATTTGAGAGATGCATGGATTACTTGTCTCCCACATGTGCCCCAACCGAGGCCAGGGGTCAAACCTGCAACCCAAGTACATGCCCTTGACTGGGAATCAAACCCTCAACGC